TTAAATTCTATTTGCTCATCGACTTCGATCTACCATGTTTGTGACTGCTGCTTTGGCCACGTTCTGTTGATCTCCCTCTCGTCGTTGTCAACGCTTCTGCTTGTTGCAGATTTACTTGTCTGTCTTCCTTGTTCTTGCGCCGATTTTCTTCTTGTAGAACAACAGCTGCAACGTCATCGAAGACTAGACTGATGACATTACTGTTTGTCAAGTTGATGATGAGTTGATCATACGAATCCGGTAGACTTTGAAGTAGAAGTTCAGCACGATCTTGTTCTCCTATTTTACAGCTTAAGGATGTAAGCTGAGAAAATAAAGTATTCAGTGTATTTAAGTGCTCCGTCACTGAAGTAGATTTTGGCATACGGAGAGTGTACAATTTTCTCTTAAGGAAAATTTTATTGTGCAGCGATGTGGCCTCATATAATTTGGTGAGATGATCCCATATCTCCTTAGCTGTCTTCTTCTCTTCGATGCTTGACAATACTTCATCTGCTAATGCTAGATGAAAGTTTGCCATAACATTCCCGTCCATTTCGATCCATTTTTTGTCATCTGTGAAATCTACCGGCCTTTCACTGATAGCTGTTAGACAACCGTCTTTCCTCAGGATGACCTTCATCTTTAATTTCCACAATGAGAAATTTCTCCCATTGAATTTTTCAATATCAAATTTCGTTGTCATAGCTTCTTTTACGGATAGCTCCCACTATTTCACTATCGTGAATAGTTTTCTGGAACCTTCAAAAAATAGGTAATAACTTCTTATTTTCTTATGTTGGAGGATCCACCTTTTAGTGACAACCACAAAGACAATAAGCAGATATTACACACTCAAATTTGGCTCGGATACCAATTGTTGCGGAAGACGGCTATCGGATAGAGCAAAAATGCAACTGATAATTTGAGAAAATAAAAATGAAGATAAAGAAGATACAAAATTTACGTGGAAAACCCCTAAATAATATAGGGTAAAAACCACGGGCAACGGTAGAAGAATTTCACTATGAAAAAATATGAATTACAACCTCTCTCGATTTACAAAGGAGAAAACAATGATAATTCTCTCTTGATAAAAAGGAGAAAACAACTCTCTAAATTCTCTCTAGTATTGGAAGAAAGCTAGAATGCTTTGGTATGCTTTTGAAACTAAATGAGTTAGGGTATTTATAGTTGAAGCTTTAAGGACTAATTTGTAAATACTCTAAATTACAATGGTTAAAATTGATGTTTTACCATTGTTGAAAAATCAACAAATGTTGCACCGAATGTTGAAAACAATTTCTGCAGCCCAAGCTTTTTGACAATTGCCCTTCAGTGCATTAATTGCACCGAAATGGCTTGACTTTCAACAAAAAAAAAAATACCTCCAGCATCAACAACTGCCTTCGGCCAACTAGCAGAGATCTTTTCCAAAGCTTTAACTGCTGTTTGCTGCAGATTCAATATTCCAATTCCAGAAAGCTGCACCAGCGGCACAACTACATTTTTTTGTGAAGTCCTGCTGAAAATGTACCTGCGCAAGAAGATGAGTCAATAATTCTGTTCCGAGCTGCTGAATAGCTTGAGCTGGTGATTCCAGAAATGAAATCAGAGGTTCAATGACTTGACTGGGACTCAATTTCAGAGTGGCAAATATTTGCGGCTTCTCCAAGATATTTACAAGTGCTTGGAACGCACAGTGTTGTCCCCACACACCAAAATCTTGACGAAGTAAAACCATGAAAAGAGGCTCGATTATGTTTGCAGCATCTGAACTTCTAGCAGTAGAGTTACTATTTGTCAAAATTCGGAACAACTCTGCGATTGAGGAGCACAATGAACTGGATGCAAGAGGGAGTACCTCAAGACAATCATCAATAATGCCAGCTTTCACCATGTCTGATTTGAGTGGTGGGCGGTCTTTCCTCAACTTTATGAGTGCGCATATGCTGGCCTCAATAAGATGATGGTTTCTTCCAGAAACCAAGCGGACAAGGAGATCCACAATGTCACATGCTGCTGCAAGCTCCACCTGCTGCTCATCATCCAACAATCTCTCAGAAGCACAGACTCCAGACTCCACAGTACTAGCATCAGACTGCATAAGAGAAATAAGCGGCTGTATGCATTCGGAGGATATAGGATCTGCTCTAAATCTAGTATTACCAAAGAGAACAAAAAAAAGTTGTGAAGTTGTGCAGCATTTCTTTTCAATTCCAAAGATGAAGCCGAAGACAAGATTTTGTGCAGACTCTCGAGTGGGTTTCCTTACACATCAGTCATTAAGTTGCTTTTGAAGCATTCCCGGAAGTTAACTTGATCAAGGCAACAAGAGCAGCCTCTTGCTCACTCTCAGATGCAGAAAACATGTCAACCAATGGTTGCACAGCCTGACTGGCTAATTCAGAATCTATAAACATTGTCAGAATAAAAAGTTTGATGGAGAGCCCTCACAGCACTGAACCTGGAAATTTTAGAACCCAGATGCAAAACAGCTATAAGTTGATTCAAGGAGCTAATTGATGTTTCATATTGAATAAGTTCCTGATTTCCAAATAATATCCTGAGCAATTCACATATATCAGCCTCTGTTGAGTCTTGAGGGCTCAAAGACAGATATTTTGTAAAAGCGTCGATAGCACCAGCTTCGCCCATGATTAATTTATTTGCATCACTTCCACCTGCAATGCGGGTTAAGAGTTGAACAGCAATTGGAGGGCCCCCAGGCCTATCTGGTATTGGTCTCAAGCGATCCACTAAAAGAGGAATAGATTTCGTACCAGAGAAAATTCTTCAGTAACTAAATTGGGCATATCTGATTCCAAGTAGCCAATCAATGTTATTAACCCAGAAACAGCACCAGAATTTGCAATGACAAAACTTATTCACTTGCTTCCGTTACAAACTAGACTAGCCATCGCCTGAGCAGCAAAATATCTGTCAATAATTTCTTCAGACCTCAGAAGAAGAGCAAGTGAAGGTATAATGCGTATGGTTGCTGGAGATAAAACAAGATTTTCATCTTGGACACTTATCCAAATACCTACTGTATCCTCGAATTCTGCCTGAAAATAAACCTGGTTTTCAGCTAGGCTAACAAAATCTTTAGCAAGTAATCTTAAGTATCAACATGCATGGTGTTATGTCAATTTTTTTTATTATAAAAAAAGTGGCTTTAGGAATAAGGAAATTTATATTTTGATATATTCAGAACACATGTTCCCACTTGCATTCCACAATCATGTCAGCATTATAATCTTTCCTCTTTTTTCTCTTTGCAGTTAATGTCGGAAGATACCTTTGTCTGTTTAGTTATAAGTATCTACAGCCATGGCATATTTCAAGAGCACAAAATATGCCTTATCATCGCATAATGGTTTAACATAAATGGAACCACTCGGATAAGCTAATGCAGCTGAAACTAATTTAAGCTAATGCAAGTATTAAGTTAATGCCATTACAGTATAACATTAAAGAGCACAATCTGAAAATTGAAAAATAAAATCAACTAAAAGCTTGTAAGTTTATCCTGGAAGTCCCTTTTTCCGATATCAATCGTGAAAATAGCTCCAGCAAGTGTAATCATCCTACCGAAAAGAATGTAAGAGCGCACAAGAATAGGATGTTTAGCATCAACTACAGAGAGGTGGATTCTGATTTTGTCAAGTATACAGTATTGACGGAGAGAGAATGAGAGAGGGAGAGCCATACCAGAGGATTGGAAGCATAATTTACAACCTTGTCAGATAGGACCTCAAGTACACCAGCTTCCATTATGGTAATTTTGTTTTTTGAAAGGCATGAAGACAGTATTAACAAAAACCAAAAAGCAATGGTTCCACCCAAAACAACAGCAGGATTGAGAACATCAAACTCCTCACCTTCCTGGAATGCAGTTCTTTCAATAAACTCTCTTGGGGCTCTGCCTCTGACAATTTCTAAAGAGGGACATCTTGAATTCCTCTGTCATATCCACTAAAGCTTCAAGAGGTTTTAAATAACCAGACTGATCAAGTTCATCCAATGACTGCAGTTTGTGTTCTTTTGCAGTACATGTAAGAAGTGCAGTCGCTCCAACTCTGACTTCCAAACTGGAAGAGTTCATTATTCTATCTGCTAACGAACAAATAGATCTTGATCTTGCAACCAATAGATCACTGAGAACAACTGGTTGTTCCGCACAACGTCTAGATAAAATTTCTATGGAGTTATCTTGTAGTGGAGGAGGCCCCTCCGCAAGGCATCTCACAAGAGGCTCTAAACTCGATGGATCGTCAGCAAGCGCAGATCATGAATAAGTTAAACTCGCACCCTTTTTTGTTCTAGACAATAGTGCAACTACTTCTAAAACATCTGCTGCATCAATGATGTCCATATCCATTGCATTTAAGGAATCGACAAGTGCAAGAACAGCAAAACGACACCGATAATTTCCTATGAGCACATCGCCGACTGGAAAATGCTTGAGTAATTGATGAAGAACCCTTGACGAATACTTCTTACCTTCTAAAGTTCCATCTCCCATCACTCTTGTCAAAGCTGAAACAACATCTGCAGCTAGTGCTTCAGCTGCAATATCGGAATCTGAGAGAAGATTGGCCAAAGCAGCAACAGCGGTTTCAGCAGCGCCAATGAAAGAAGTTTTTGCTAATCTAGTTAGAGGTTTGACATCTGCTGCTGCAATGTAAGACATCTTATTTAGCAGTTTTAGATTTGGTTGGGCAAGAAGCCCAACACTCGAGCAGATTGAGTCGCAACAACTTGAGTCTTGCTAGTCAAAAGCTTCATGCAAAGTTGTACAATTTCATCAGTAACTCGACACAGGCACGGATGTCTTCACTTAGAATAGAATAAATGAAAATATATCTGATCTTTCAATTAAAACTTCAGAGATGATATCTATCTACAGTTTGATTGTTATATTCATTTTTTTTATTTCATTAGAATAATTTAGTAACTCACCTAGGGTTAGATGAAGATAGGTTGTCCCCATTCCCGCGGTTCAGGGGACACAGTCTGACATTACCAACAAAAGTCGCTTTAGCTTGCCCCTTGACTATCTGCAGAATCAGACAAGCAAAATTAGTGTTTGGTTCAAAGAGATGAGATTTTCATGGGATGAAAATCTTATATTTTCATGTTTGGTTGGCTGTAAATTTCATTTCCGATAATATTTTATTATCAATAGTAAATTTTTTTGGTATATTATTAGGAATGTCATTACTTTCATTCCCTTAGATATTATAACATTATCGGCGTTTTAGACTAAAATGCCCTTAAATTTTTATTTTTTTTTTCAAAAATATCATTATTATGTCATTGAATAATAAAAATTTTACGAAGGTTAAATTAAAAATTTATCCTTAAATTATTTTAGATTTACAAAAAAAAATCTATAATTAAAATTTTATATAAAGTTCAGGGTTAAATTTTTTTTTACCCTTTCATTAAATTTTTTTTATATTTTTAATTTTGTAAAAAAATTATATAAATATTATAAATTTAATTTTTTTAAAAGAAAATATATAAATATTTTATAATTTATAATATTATACAAATATATAATAAGGATAATTTGGTCAAATATACATTCCAATAATCTTTTATTCCTTTAACCAGACACAATAATCTTACATTCCTGCTAAATCAACCAAACACAAAATACAACATTCTCAATAATTCTATTCTCTGATAATCTTACATTCCGTGAACCAAACGCACCCTAAATGTATATAAGACAGATCGGAGGTGCAGGAGAAATCAAACCCTGTGCCTCTCGCATTCAATGCAAGCGCTCTACCATATGAGCTACACCCCCATATTGCAAGCTTTAAAAACTGTAACACAATATTACATAACCAAATTTCATCCTATTCCACATCTTCCGAAAGAAGTATAATAAAACTGATTTATCTTTATTTAACACAAAATATATATTTTTTGAATGAAACACAAAATAAAATGAAACAAAAAAAAGGTTACCTTTGCTGAAATTGCAAATGCCGAAGAACGATTTTTCCTTATGATCAATCCCAAACCTTCTTTCTCAGTCCAGAAGCAGTTTCAGCTCTTTTTTTAAAAGAAAGCTCTTCAATTCTTCACCATTTTACACAGTTTTAGTCCAAAGTAACTAAAACCCAGAAAATGCAGCAATCCTAAAACCCTGAAATATTACGATTCTTTGTTTAATAAGTAACAAAACCAGAAGCCCAAATTTCAAAAAGGAGAATCGAGTGCAAAATAAAAATCAGATCCTGACAATGAATAAATGCTGCAATTAAAGAAGATTAATAAGAGTATTATTATTATCTTAGTCAATGGAAATGTGATAACAAAAAAGAAATTAACGGAGTACAGAGATCAAATCACAAAAGGATTTAACAGAATCTAGGGTAAGGAAAAACAAGTGTCTTCCTCTTAATTGTCATCATTTAAAAAATTTGTTTTTTTAAATGGAAAAGAAAAAGGAAAAAAAAGGTGTATTACTTAAAGAATCAGAGCAAATGAATGCTACCCAAATGTAAGCCAACAATCACACTGAGAAACAGAGGTAGTATCAGACAGAGTTCAGTTGACAGAAAGAAAGAGAAAGTATGGGACTTTTCATTTCATTTTCCTTTTTTCCTAAAAAAAAAGAGTAATTTGCTTAACCCAGTAGATCAATAATTTTAAACAAAATACTATAATTCATCTACAACAATTTTGGAAAACACAAGTCATCAATGTAATTTGCTTTTATAAAATCTAGAAATCAGTAAAAAAAATGTGTTTTGCATGTCTGTCATGTAATAAAACAATAATAATAATAATCAGATAATACCGTGGATACTTGTCATTATCAGATATCAATGTCCAAATTTATTAATTAAGAGGGTTACAGGTAGATCTAATCTAGTTAAGGATCCACCAAAATTTTTTATATAAAAAAAGAAATATAGATTAATGAATTGTGGGAACCCATTGACAGTATATCAAATTAATTGGATCAAAGTAATACTGGAAAGGGTACAACAATAGTAAGATAAGAAGTTCACGTTTGGTCATTGTTTTGGCATTATCAGTGAAAGCGGAAATGAGAGATCTTCCTGGGATCTGTATTATTTAGTAAGGAGCAGAGCAAAGCATGTGCATGGGGGAGAGGCATATGAAAATGGGGCCGCCATCTATTATTTTATTATAATAAACAAACTGCTTTCTAAAATTATACTTATCTGTAAAGTCCAACTCAATTTTCTATACATTCTTCTTCTTCTTGCTGTAAGAATCTAGCCCTTAGATCTCACTCTAGGGGGCAAGACAAAGCTTGGCACCTCTAGGTTGGATGAAAGAAACGTGGTGGAAATGCTTAAGTTTGTGTGAATTATGCTTTAGAAAAGGGTTAAGGGTAATGTTGAAATATGATTTTGGAAGGTGTTATGGACAAAAGATTGGACTTCAATATGAAATATTTTAGGATTAAACTTTTTTTGAATGAATTTGAAGTGGAAGACGAATTAAATAAACACAAGATCTATACAACATTGTTGGATGATAGAATTTCAATGCTACAAATGGGGCAATTCTACTTCATTCGGAGCCATTTGCTTATGCAATCCGAGTGATATGGATGTTCACAATTAGGAAGAGCAACTAATCCTTCATTGTTTACGTATTCCACTTGACAAATTACACATCGAAACTCCGTTTTCACGCTCGATGGATCCAAACTTAAATGGCGTCAAGCATGAAGAAAATTCTTCCTCGGATAACCCTCTCTTCACTACTCCTATTATCTCTTCCAAAGCTATCAATTCTTCGTACGAGAAGTTGCCCAAATCAATCTCGTTATCATCTTCATTATCGTACTCTATGTCTTCATTGACATCGTTAATATATTGTCCGTCGAGAAATTCTAGGTCACCTCTAACTTCAAAGTATTCATAATTGTTGGTAATGCTCAATCCCACATAGTGTTGGAAACACTATTGGGAATGGTATTTAAGGCTTGACATTCTACTTCATTGTTGAGTGATAGAGAACAAGGGGGGCTCTCGCGCACCGCCGCCGCCGTCCGTCCGTCTCGGCTCGGCACGACACGACACGGCTCGGCTCGGCTCGGCTCGGCTCGGCTCGGCACGGCACGAGCGGGTATGTTTTTACTTTGGGTGGAGCAGCGATCTCGTGGAAATCATCAAAGCAGACTTGTATTGCTCGTTCTACCATGGAGTCAGAGTTTATAGCTCTTGACCTAGCTGGGCAAGAAGCCGAGTGGCTCAGAAGCTTGTTAGCAGATATTCCGTTGTGGGGAAGACCGACTCCTCCGGTTTCATTGTTGTGTGATTCACAAGCTGCGATATGTGTGGCTAAGAACCAAGCTTACAATGGTAAGAAAAGACACATTCGCATAAGACATGAATCAGTTAGACACTTGATAAAGAATGGAGTGCTCTCTTTAGAGTATGTGAAGTCGGAAAGGAACCTAGCAGATCCACTTACCAAAGGGTTAAGTCGGAAGCTGGTCCTAGATTCGTCGAGGGGGATGGGTCTAAAGCCCATTGGTTGAGGAATTCATGGTGGATACCCAACTTAGTTATCTAAGTTCCATGTGGTCAAACGAAACCATGGAAAGACTCATAGTGCACATTCCTACTGCCTATCCCTATGATGAATAATGTGCATGCCCAGGATGAGCTTAATTGCTCTTAATAAATTCATAGCCCATGTTTGGGTGGTCTTAGTGAGAAAGACTTGATGAATTTACCGATTTTGGCTGAATATCTATTCTTAATAAGTTCATAACCCAGAGTGAGTGGGTAGGAAATGATGAACTTACCAACAGAAAGGTTGAGTTTGTTAAACTCTTAATAAATTCAAATCCAAGTATTTGGATGGTTCTAGTGAGAAGGACTTATTGAATTTACCGATAAATGAGGTTGAATATTTATTCTTAATGACTTCTTAGCCCAGAGTTTGGGTGGTTCATTTATAATGAACTTGAAAAAAGTCACCATACCCTTTGTGAGGTTGAGCTATTATAAAAGCTCTTAATTATTTCATATTCCTTTTTAAAGGGTGGTTTATGTTGAGATAAACTTGATGAAATAACCTATGTAAGTGAGAAGGGTTAGCCGCCTTCTATGAAAAATGTTGGGCTATTTTTCTAGCACACTTACTAGAATCCTGAGGTAAGATGGCCAAATATATACTTTTGTATATATATCTTACACATCGAGGACTCAGGTGGATGAAGGGGTTAGTTGTGTGTTATGAGTTTACCCTGATCTTAGAAAGTTCCAGACTAGTTTCACTTATCTAAGAGAAGGATTGCTCATCATCACTATGTACTAGTTCCAGATATGTTCACTAGTGCTTAAGCAACTAATCTCGCTATTACTCTTCTGGAAAGCTTGTTTTCGAGTTTCAGAAGATTTCTTTCGCATTAGTGGGGGAATGTTGGTAATGCTCAATCCCACATAGTGTTGGAAACACTATTGGGAATGGTATTTAAGGCTTGACATTCTACTTCCTTGTTGAGTGATAGAGAACAAGGGGGGCTCTCGCGCACCGCCGCCGCCGTCCGTCCGTCTCGGCTCGGCACGGCACGGCACGGCACGGCTCGGCTCGTGGTCGTGGTCGTGGTCGTGGTCGAGGTCGAGGTCGTGGTCGTGGTCGTGGTCGTGGTCGTGGTAATACGTGTCTTCGACACGTCTGCGCGGATACTATCTTTTTAGAGAAAATTCTTGAGGAATTTCTCTTTGAAAGAAACAAATGGAAAATGTGAAAGATATCAACTGATATTTATAGGCTGCTGAGGACTGTTTGAATTTCAAATAATAACAGCTGAATTATTTTTTATCAGAAATTAAACAGTTTATTCCTAAATTAAATCAGAAACGTTAAGATGTACCTAGACTGATTTACAGCTTTGTACAGAGGAGACAAGCTGTTAATATCAGGAGTTACAGGAGTTATTTGATTTAATTCCAGGGGTTACATGATATAATTTCGGGAGTTATAACAGCTGAATAATGATACAATGAACCTGGACTATTTCTGAGTCAGGTTCATCTAGTCGTTTCAGCTGTTACAAATAAGAGGTTTAATCCTGAAATTTTATGGACGATTTTAACCCTATTTCTAGCCTATAAATAGAGAGCTATATTCAGCTTCTCAACTCACTCCAAAACATTCACAATTCACTTACCAAAGTGTTTTCTAAAGTTCTCTCTGTGAGTTCTCTCTGAGTGCTTTCCGATCAGAAGTGCAATACCACCAGCAGTCCACTCCGGTTTCGGGTGTACGGAATTCGGAGCGACCGTGTTAACCTCGGGGGACGGTCCGCCTACTGCAGCGATTACACACATCGAGGCGAATTCGTTTCTAAGGCAGTGGTTCTTACCACGACACGGTTTACGAATCTGTTCTTCTTAATTACTGTTTATATTTTCAGTCAGTGCTAACGGTGTACTTTTGCAGTTCATATATCCAACAATAATCGTTATTGCTTTGATCATCGTCAATGTCATAATTGCTTTCGAGCATCGAAGAAATCCCCTCGTGTTCTTGCAATTCCAAAACCGAAGGGGAATGAAGATGGGCAAAGGGTGACTGTTTTGCTGATGCTTCGCTTTCCATCGCAATTATATATGTTAGGGGAATTGAAGGGCTGAATGGGACAATGCTAAAGCCTTTGAGCAAACTCATTCCCGATCTTTCCAAGCTCGATGCACTTGATGGAAAGAACTATAGAAGGTGGTCCCAAAGAATTCTTATATTCTTCGAGCAACTTGATCTTGATTACGTGTTGCTCAAGCCACCACCTACCATGCCGCCAACCCCAGCTGTTGGTAATGATGCGGATGCGATCCTCAATGATGATGCCTTAGCAACTGCCGCCGCCGCTCTCGCTACCTACGAGAAATTCGAGAAGGATAACAAGACGGTACGAGGACATATGCTCAGCCACATGTCAAATAAACTATTTGATATGTTCCTTAGAGAAAAGAGTGCCAAGGCAATATGGGACACTCTCGACAAGAAGTATGGTGCGGATGATGCGGGGATCAAGAAGTACGTTGTCGGCGAATGGCTCAAATTCCAGATGACAGACGACAAGCCAATAATGGATCAAGTCCATGACTATGAGAACTTAGTCGCTGACATCATCGCTGAAGGGATGCAAATGTGTGAGGTGCTACAAGCCAGTGTACTCATTGAGAAACTGCCCAAGTCCTGGTCCGATTACCGTAACTCTCTTAAGCATAAGAAGAGAGACATTTCGCTTGAAGAACTTGTGGGCCATATGAAGATTGAAGAAGCCAACCGTTTAAAAGATAAGCTTACTAATTCTATGAGTAATTTATCTTTTAGAGCTAACTTGGTTGAGTCCAAATTTAAGAAGATCATGAAACGTGGGAATCAAGACAAAAAGACGAAACCACAGAAGGCTACCAACTTCAAGAAGTCAGGAAAGGCCAAACCGGAAGGAAAGACGTTCAAGTGTTATGTCTGCGGTTTACCTGGCCACAAGGCTTACCAATGCCAACACCGCTCAGACCGCCAGAATGACAACAAGCCACAGATGCACGTTGTAGAAGAAGATGATGAGATCAT